ATCTCTTTGTTATATTTTATGTATACATTGTATACATATATTGAACCATTAAACTTTTAAAATTAATTAGAAATTATTATGCAACTTAAAATGTCGATATTAATATTTTATTACATATAAATTTAATAAAATAAAATTTTTTTGGAATTTTGGTTTTACTTTATTATATTTACATTTATAGATAAAAATAATCCAACTCGTTATCGTGATATAAATTAATTAATATATTCAAACCTTGGAATAAAATATTTAAATGTGTCGAATAATTTAGAACGAATTCTCAATTTCAATGATAAAAAGATATCGTTTGAGTCTTTTACGAGTGTTGTGGCAGATAAACCAAGATTGATGTTTCCAGGCATTTTTAATAAAAATGTACAAATATTTTAATAAAACTGAAAGGAACATAAAAACGTGCGAACTTTGAGAATTTTTATATGACAAGACTGAGAACTCTTTTATTTCATTTATAGAATCTAATTGAATTGTAACAATTTGTTTTTGTTTTATTTACTATTTTTGCATATAATCTAATAGAAAGAATTTACATTATAAACATTTTCTATTAATAATTTTCAAATACATACAATTCATTGTTCCTAATGTTTAATTCCATTACTATGCTTACTTCAATTTTTTTTGGTAATCTAATTTTATTCATTGACATACCTTGAACTTTGAATTAGTTTAATTTTTGTGTTCCTAAAATAATCTTCTAACTATTTTCTAATTAAATAATGTTCTATTTTTATTTGATTCTTAAAATTAAAATAATTTAAATAAATAAGTTGTTTGCTAGAAAACTGATATCAATTCTAGTCAAGTGGATGTTTCAGTAAAAAGAAAATCTAACTTTTTTTCTAAAAAGTGTTTTTTTAAATCAGTATTTATATTCGGATTGTACATATGTGGGAAATATCGAGAATTATATATGAAGACCTATACCTATACTTGCTGTAAAAGAATATGTCAATAACATCTTGTTCATATACTACTTTTTGGCAAATGTGTTTTTATCTTTACCATGACGTAATCTTTTACTTGGTAATACATGGATAACTTATTGAATTAGTTTGGTTTATTTATTGTTTTTAGTTATTGAAAGCTCATTGGTAGTACCAAATTGTCAGTACCTATTTGGTACTGGATAATGTTTATTTTAACTTGCTAATAACTAAATATCTAATAACATATAACAACAAAGAACAGCTATCAATATCATTTTCTTAGGAATGCATCAAATTAATGTGAGTTAATGTAATAATACAATGCTTCTATTGAGAAGAAGTTTGCATGCGTTTTTATACTAACAACTTTTACTTGAACTATGTCCCATTGCGTCGATAATGTCATTCTATTGTATATTGTATATAAAAAGCTATCTTGATCTTTTAGTCAAGGTTTCATACCAGTAAAATATTATGCGTAGTTATGTAGGATAATATTATATGGACAAGATTGATGCAATTTTAATCCAGGCGTATTTAGGCAGGTTTAGACGATACGAGTGTTTTTGCACTTTAATATGTTGTTTAAATATTATTGACTTTAACAGCCATTTTTAACACGTTAATCGCCATGTCAGCCATACGTGCCTGACGCCTAGTATTTTTACATGAGCTAAAAACTGAAAACTAGATAAATTTTTATGGCATTATTTGATGTTGTTTATACTTATTTCTTATAAGATTTACACAGTACATTTTTATCTATTTGAGGGGTTTTCTATTAGGGAGAAATTTGGGAGAATTTCATATCATCTTTGAAAGACCGTAAAAAGAGCAAATGATATTTTTACTATCCATTGTATATGTTATTAATATTTTAAAAATACAGAAATAAGTGAAAAATTGAAAATAATCAACGAGTTTTAATTCTAACAGGTGACGAAGTTAAGGGGGGTTCAAAAAATTGATGATAAATTTTAGTAAATTCGTTTATATAATTAATGTTGGTTTTATTAATAATTTCCGAAACTTTATCATACAATGGTTTATTGTGGTCAAACTCTTCTAATTTACATATATTTCTGATGATAATTTAAGTTTTGAAAAATCACAATGCCTTAAATTGAATAGTTAAACTTAAAAAATATGAAAAAAAATCAACTTCTTAAAAAATCTTGACTATAGACTACTCCATTAAGATACTTTTAAGTTTTCAAATTTAATAACAACTTTTTTGCATTTTATCATTTTACTTAAGATCTATCAATCATACGTACTGAGTTTTCTCAGTTATCCAGAGTATGTTTAACATTTAATGTTCTAAACATTTTTCGCTCTATTTCTTTCAAACTTCTATAACTTTTGATTAAGAAATTACCATTTATTTTTATAAATAATGTATGAATCTACAAACATTCGTCGTCGATTTCTTATGATGAATAATTTAGCCAAAGTCCGCAATTAAATTATACAACAAGACGAAACGCAGATGTTTTTGGCGGACTAACCGGTTACACAAGTCGACAAGTTCGGAATAAAAGTGAAATAAAAATATGCAAAAATACTTTCTGTTGCAGAATTTGTTAATTTGTATTTAAAAAAAATGCGGATATTTTAGAATATTTTGGAAGTCTTGAAGATTATTAACTACACCTGTTCGAGTATTTATTGCACATCGCCAATTCATATTTATCATCTTCTGAAAGCACTTTTAATATCGGTATCATTTCTATTATTAATATTATTATTGCCGTTATAGCAATAGTAATAATTATTTTTAACCGTATTATTGAGGACAGGCTTGTGTTTTACTTTACCATTGTTTCATCCCCTACTTAACAGTAAAGTATTATCGATACTATTTTAAAGTAGTAGCCACAAGGATTGTAATCGGTCACATTGTCATTTTTTAACCAAATTTTATAATTAGTATTTTTTCATTGTTAGTTTTTGATCACTCTTGTTTAGTTTACTGTACCTGAACAAAATTTTAGAGTATACATTATTTAATTGTTTTATATGGTTTATTATTATTTACAGTTAGAATCAGTAGTTTTTTTTTATATAACAATAGAGGTTTTATGAAAATGATTAAAAAAAAGCTTATGTGCTAACCTATAGTTGGGGTAAAAAGTCCAACTTTAAAATGGACCATTACACAAGTAAATGTGAGAGCAATAGGAATATAGCAAATTTAAAAGTAAAATATGTGTAAAAAAGTTATTTTACAAGAGATAGAATAAGTTGAATTGTAATTCTAATTCCAATGATAATTTTTTCTGACAAAACGCCATGAAATCTTCTTGAAAAATGTTCTCATGATATGTATGAATTATGTATGAACAGAAGTTGAATTTACCTTATTTGTAAAAATTGTATTTACTTTGTACTAAGAAACAATGAGTATGAATATAATAAATTAAACAGACCAAACATACCAAACCAAGATCCTAGATAGTAGTAAGAGTGAGTAACGAATATTCTTTAATGTGTAATATTTAGATTATACTTTTTAATTTTGTTGTTTAACCTTATATTTAACCTGCTTAGCATAGAATAAATATGTAGTTATTTTGTATTCCGTAAAACTTCTTCAAAATTAAAAATAAAACAATAGAACTTTTTGTCCCCTGACTGCGCTTTTTACCCCGCCGGTAAAGAGAGAAATATAATATATTTTAGAAAAAAAAACACATTTCTACAATCATGTATTATCAATATATAGTACAATACATGGCATTTTGATAGTTTTTAGTACCACTTTATATGAAAAACGCTACGTAACATGGCCTTGCGATAACATTAGTCTATTTTACGACAGAATCGGCATCTTTATAAAAGCATAAGTCTTACAATTGCAATAATTTAAATATAAAAAGAAAACTAGTGGATCATGGCTTCGTGCCTTAAGGCAAATTGGTGAAACTTTCCGTACTGAAATTTAATTATTTTAAAAACTTTAAATTTTTTTAAACTTAAATTTTGACTTTGAAAAAAAATGACTTTGTCTTCGAATATATACTTTGAAATATGAATATATACTTTGAAATTTTTTGAAAATCTTGATCTTTTTTCATAGAGACATGATATATCACAGCGCGTAAGCGTCGTGTTGCAGTCTAACGGATAAACAATTGTACGGAACCCATAGAAATGTTAACGAAATTTGTACTGATTATATATAAAATCTATATAAAATATCTGAAAATTTTATGTGCATATATCTAATGGTCATTTTTGACCTCCAAATGTTTTTTTTTTTCTTTCACTCGAACTCCGAAACCGCTAGACTTGCCCTACCAAAATTTTGAATAATTCTTCATTTTGTCAATGTAAGTAAAATGTTTTTGAAGTAAAGAAATCGGACGCTCCATTCTTTCGAAAACTGAATTACCATTTTTGCACTTTTTGCATCATATATTCGAAATGGTTGGATCTGTCTATGCCAAAAACTAATCAGCACGTCTCTTAATCAATAGGAATCGAATGTTTTTTGAATTATTCAAATCGCTCCATCCGTGTTCCCGAAATCGTCGACGAAAATTTGTATCCGCACACACACACACATACATCAATTTTTTCTAAAGTATGCCAAAATGTTCAGAAAAACGTATGTTCTGAAACGTGAAGATAAATCAAAATTTTCATTTTCGATTTTTTTGCGATTACTATAACTTACCCTACGGGAAGTTAGCAATGGGACTTTTTGTCCCCAGACTAGATATTCATATAGGATAAATAGATATTCACATTTTTACAATGATGTACTATTTTAGGATGTTACTGAACGCACACCAAATTCATAGTAATGGGTTTTAGTATAATTTTATATGAAAAACACTTCATATCATAACCTTGCCATAACATTGATGTATTTTACGGCAGGGTTGCCTTCTTAATCTAAAAGCGTAGTCTTATAATATGAATAAATAAGTGATAATTTAAATATGAAATATCAATTATGGAATATTTCTGCACTGCATCTATTTTTGTTAATAAGTAAATTTACTAATATTAAATAGATTTAATTAACAATAATCTTTTTTTCCCTAGAAACGGCGCGGTTCTCGTCAACAGCGAACGCAGTGGCGTCGTTCCTGGGCCAGCGGCAGCGGTCAGAGTCTCAACAGCCCCACAAATAGTTCTTTGGGGTCCCTCGGCATGGATGAGTTCTACGCTGCGGTTCGCGGCGATTACGATTACATTATGGACACACACCTTATAGACACCTGCAGAGACGCACGAGGAGAAATCGAGTCCAGTCCGACGATCAGAGATGGAGTATCTGATTTAGTGAGTATTTCAACCATAATAATAATTTTGTAACCAACCAGAATAATAGATAGAAATACAGTAGAACCTCGATTATCCGGACCTCAGTTATACGGATAGGCGATTATCCGGACGACCAACCGCGATCAATTTATATGCAATTCGAATTTTTGTACGATTTGAGCTTCAGTTTAATATATGTATGTAATGTAATCTAATCGTAAGAAAATGTACATGTATATATAAGGAAATGTTAATTTCTTATTAAACATTGATTTTCGTTGATATCTATGTATGTATTTGTTATTTTTGATAAATACACATTATCATTTTTGGAAAGGGGTTTTGATGCTTCTTGGGAAAACAATGATTCAGCACAGCGTAAAGCTTAAACATGTGTAGTTAATGAAGATCGAAAGAATTGTATATGATAACACAATTACTTTTGTTCACACTAGGCAACACTGCTGCTGCAGTAATATTTCAGTAGCAGCAGTAACTAGCATTCAATATATAGATTTCGGGATTCTAACTGTTCAGGTCGATAGTACCTTTGATTGAATTGATTTAAAATAGTGTTTAATTTATTAAACAAGTTCTGCATGACATACAGTTTACGAATTTATTGGAAAATACTTCCAATTCTTCATACATTGGATTATCCGGACATATATCCGGATTTTCGATTATCCGGATGCCTATCGACAACAGTTAGTTCGGTTAATCGAGGTTCTACTGTATTTTTCTATTTCGTCTGAATCAATGAGCTTATTTTTGTACAACATAATTGTGTTATGTGTTTCCCATGGTAATAGAAAATGTTTCAAATAAGAAAGAATATGTTGAAGATTTGGTAGTCTCGGTGCGCTTATTTTATTTTAATAAATCTTGCTTTCTTGATGTTGGTTTCCAATGTGTTGGTAGTAAATTGATAGTAAATGGTGGTGTTGGTGGGTTGGTAGTAAATTTTCAAAAAGCTTTATAGCTATGATATTTATACGAGCGTTTATTTCAAATTTTGATACTGTCAACGGCTTACCTTCAAATAGAAAAAATGTTAAGGCGATGAATACACCTTACTGCTGCTTTTTTCGTTATCACTATATAGAAAATTTAATTACTGCACTTTTACTACTTTTGTGTACACTTCTGTAATTATTAAAAGAATGAAAAGCGACTAAAGACATAAAAATAGAAAATTTTTATTAAATGGTTGAGTAACTTGTGCGAGCTAAATTTCTTAATATGTGTTTAGTCTTGCAACTTACTGAATACTAAATTCTAAACTAAAAATATGATATAACAAGTATTAAAACTGCCTGGAAGGGGCAGTTCACAAATATATTAATCCAACTATAAAATTAGGAAAATTTCTATCATCCGTTTAGTACGGATGGTAGCACTAAACCTAGTCCATTTTTTGGAAAGGTAAATGGATTTATATCCAAGATAAAATTTGATGCAATAATCAGTATCCCTTTGTATTGAACGGGATATAATAATAATAGAACTGAAAGATTTGAATTTACTTACAATTAGGCTATTTTAGAGAGAATACTTAATATGAACGGAAAGAATTCGGTGCCTACAGAAAGTGCATAATATTGTAATTATATAAATATTTAAATGAAATTCTTAACAAAAATGATAATAAAAATATTTCAAAAGAATCCTAAACAACAAATGTCATGATAATATTAACTTGACTTCACGTTTTTTAACGAATCAGTACCTATTACTTTGAACTTTTAATGTCATCTCCAAGTAACAACAAACTCGAAAATATTAGGTAATCCACAGGTGACCATACGTCCCGATTTGTCCGGGAAAGTCCCACTTGTATCCTTGTGTCCCGGGTTTTTCTAAAAGCAATATTTTTCCTGGATTTTGCATATTATGTCCCGAATTGTTCCGAGTTTTTGTAAAGTATAGGTTTAAATTGAATATTTGCAACTTCATTGATAATAAATTTACAACTACCAATCAAATATTTATCTGAAAATGATATATACAAAAAGTATGCTTATATGAAACAATACGTAATGTATGAAATAAAATAGCTTCTTACAAAAAATATGGTTACCTTAGATAATAGCTATTAAACTTATAGTAACATTTTGAACAAAATAAGTGTAACGATGAGTAAGTGAGAATAGGCTCATAAGTTACTAAAACTTTTCACATAATATTAATTTTTTCGTTACTGTTCAGCCAGAAAGCAGACACGTACTGTGAAATAACCAGTTTTTTTCCCTTTTTGATTAGATTGATAGATTTTTCACGATTATACATTTTGTCTCCAAAATTTGCTTCCATGCTTTCAATATACATTGAAATATTTGGTTGGTTCAATATATCAAAAAAGCCTTATCTAAAACTTTTTTTTTTCAAAATATATAGGAGTACAGAATTTTACAAAGTTCAATTTTCATTTTTCTGTATTCCATATTATTAAGGGAACCAACTTTTACTAATTAAGCTCACCAACTATTATTAACATAATCAGTTAGTCCACTTTGCAAGTACTTCTTAGGTAAAAAAAAGATGATGTAACTACTAACTATAAGGGCTTCATTTTTTGTTAAAAGCATTTTTTTGGATACTTTTTTCAAATGAGGATTTTGTGTAATAATGTATTCACATTTAACATTTTTTCAATTTGAATACTAAATTTAAGACGGTAGTTAATTGCATCCTTTTAGAGCGATTTCTTTGCTCCAATAATCATTTCCTAGCAATAATACCCTTTCAACAACATCATCAGTGGACAACGTAAGAAATCTTTTATTACATCTTTATGTAAAATATGTATGAAAGAAATCTACCCATCTTTTCTCAAATTCTATTCTCCCATTGCTCAATTTCCTATTTTTTTTTTCTTTCATTCCAATATAAATTCAAATGCAACAGACTTTGTTCAATTTAATCATTCAAATGCAACCGACTACGATTATTTGTGTGCTATAAGAAAAGAGCGCTCCTGGCTTAATGTGATTTTTAGGTAATCCTTGTCCAGATAATCCCGGTCCAGATAATCCCGGTCCAGATAATCCTTGTATTAATTGATTTTCGCAAGTAAGTTAGTTTTGTTTCAATCAGACTCACGAGATGGCGCAACTGACTCTAGTAAAGTTTTGAACCAAGTGCGCTTACAGTTGTAATACCTGTGTTAAAATCATAGATGGTCCGAGGAGTTACTTTGGTTCTTGTGTTAAAATCATAGATGGAGCATTGAGTTCTACTGGTTCTTATACTAAATCTGGAATAGTAGTTGAGTCTATAGTCTAGTCTTGCTAAACGACTTCTTTTTAAAAATAATTTGATTATTGCTTCAATATAGTATATTTTTCCAAGGTTTTTTTCCTAATTTATAACTAAATGGAAATTGTAGTATTTTAAGTATGTTACTTTAATTCCCTAGCGTAATGTAAAAATGCAGTGCAATAGTGGGTGCGTTCGACTTGGACGCTTACGCGCTGTGAGCGCTCACGCTTATAAGCACGAATTTTTAGCGTTCGACTTGGCCGATAAGCGCTCAGAATCGATAACTAAATTCCGTTCGTTTTGGAAACTGTGAGCGTCAATAAGCATCAAAATGGCGGCAACTGGCGGTAACGGTAATTGTGTAAATTTTATTACTTTCTGGATCATTCAGCGGGATTATACACAATTTAACAATTAATAAATAAATAAAATTTGGTTTGCTTATGCTTAATTAATATTAATATTAAAATTAAAATTTAAAATTATTTAAAATTAATTAAATTTAAAATTAATTAATATTAATATTAATATTAAAAAATAAATGTGATATACAACTTGGCATTTTTGCGGGATTATAAAGAATTTAACAATTAATGAATAAATAAAATTTGGTTAGCTTATGCTTAATTAATAGTAATATTAAAATTAAAATTTAAAATTATTTAAAATTAATTGAATTTAAAATTAATTAATATTAATATTAATATTAAAAAATAATTGTGATATACAACTTGGCATTTTTGCGGGATTATAAGAATTTAACAATTAATGAATAAATAAAATTTGGTTAGCTTATGCTTAATTAATAGTAATATTAAAATTAAAATTTAAAATTATTTAAAATTAATTGAATTTAAAATTAATTAATATTAATATTAATATTAAAAAATAATTGTGATATACAACTTGGCATTTTTGCGGGATTATAAAGAATTTAACAATTAATAAATAAATGAAATTTGGATAGCTTATGCTTAATTAATAGTAATATTAAAATTAAAATTTAAAATTATTTAAAATTAATTGAATTTAAAATTAATTAATATTAATATTAATATTAAAAAATAATTGTGATATACAACTTGGCATTTTTGCGGGATTATAAAGAATTTAACAATTAATAAATAAATGAAATTTGGATAGCTTATGCTTAATTAATAGTAATATTAAAATTAAAATTTAAAATTATTTAAAATTAATTGAATTTAAAATTAATTAATATTAATATTAATATTAAAAAATAATTGTGATATATAACTTGGCATTTTTGCGGGATTATAAAGAATTTAACAATTAATAAATAAATGAAATTTGGATAGCTTATGCTTAATTAATAGTAATATTAAAATTAAAATTTAAAATTATTTAAAATTAATTGAATTTAAAATTAATTAATATTAATATTAATATTAAAAAATAATTGTGATATACAACTTGGCATTTTTGCGGGATTATAAAGAATTTAACAATTAATAAATAAATGAAATTTGGATAGCGTATGCTTAATTAATAGTAATATTAAAATTAAAATTTAAAATTATTTAAAATTAATTGAATTTAAAATAAATAAATAATATGAATAAAATAAAATAAATAATATGAATAAAAAATAAATGTGATATACAACTTGGCATTTTTGCGGGATTATAAAGAATTTAACAATTAATAAATAAATGAAATTTGGTTAGCTTATGCTTAATTAATAGTAATATTAAAATTGAAATTTAAAATTAATTAAATTTAAAATTAATTAATATCAATATTAATATTAAGAAATAATTGTGATCTACAGCTTGCTATTTTTGCGGAATTATAATGAATTTGACAATTAATAAACAAATGAAATGACAGATAGTAAAAACAACTGACGCTCACGCTCACGCTGCCCTACCTCTGTGGCGTGAGCGTATGTGAGCGCAAAATATGTGCTACGAGCATCCTACGATGGTGCTACGAGCGTACTTATGCCACACTCACAGCGCCAAGTCGAACGATGAAAGCGCGCTCACGGCGCGCTCACAGCGCGTAAGCGTCCAAGTCGAATGCACCCAGTATGATCATTATTTTACTGTAAAATATTTTAATATTAATAATATTTTTAGCATTTGGCATTGAAGCCCCAACAATGGCGGCAACCGGAAACTGCAGCCAGGAAGGACGTCGCTTTGCTGCGCCGATGGTTGCGGGATGTCGAGGCCCGTTTAGAAGCCCATTCGTTAAGGGACGCCACACGCTGGTCGAGGGAGCGGCAGCAGCGATGCCTAGGAGAATTAGCGGTAAGTTTAGTGAATGTTGGACATTCTTTTATTTTTACTACATATATGCTATTACTCGGCGGAGAATAAGAAGAAACATGGAAGAAACCCTGTTTGAAAAATGCGTTTTTCGAAAATTTATTTTTTTGATTAATACATTGAAGATGTAATTAATTTTTTGAATAATACATTTAAGATGTAAATTTTGAGTATATTGAATACTTAAGATGAATTATCAATGACATTTTCTCAATTAGATATTTACGAATAAAGAAAAGCAAAAATTGAATTGATTCGAATTAAATTGATGAGCTTAACATACCAATGTTATGGCAAGGTCATATTACGCTCCAACATCCATACATTATGCTACTGAATCATACTGAATACTGTCAAAATGTCATGTTTTTGCTGTACATTCAGGCGTTTCACACATAAACTGCAACGTCACTTGTATGTTGTGAAGCTGAGTCAGAAAGTCTCTGATGTTATCTAAGATAGTTTTTTTTGACATTTTTGTCGTTTCTAGATTAGGTTTTGTATCTGACAACCTGAGAAAAACGACTGAAATATTCTTCATATCATAGCCTTGCCACAAGGAGGCGTCCATTCATCACGTGAGGATTTTAGGGAGAGGGGGGGTTTGACAAAAAATCACAAAATATAGCGTGGGAGAGGGAGGGTTATAGTGAGATATCACGTGTATTTATTTTTTAACTGATTTTTTAAAAAAATTCAAATATTTTCAAAAAAAAATTAAAATTTCACATTTTTATCACGTAACTGAAACTACACGTAATGTTTGGCGGGGGAGGGGGGTAATTTTGAATATCACCATGTAACATCAGGGGGAGGGAGGTCTAAAAATCCTTAAAAACTTGTTCACGTGATTAATGGATGCCCCATAATATTGGTCTGTTGTGCGGCAAAATTGGTCCATGAATCTGTTGGCCAAATTTTTGTCTCACAATTAGAGAATTGACCAAAAAAGTTGATTTATTTGAATGATCTTTAATTTTTAAGAGGTATCTATGGCATCTGATCTTCACAATATCTATATTGTGGCAAGGCCATGTTACGCTCCAACTTCCATACATTATGCTACTGAATCATACTGACGTACGTGTCTATTACGTACAAATGTCCAAATCATTATTATGGTTCAAAATATAGCACGCAGCATCAGCAAAGGTTCTGAGAAATTTAGGTTGTTCCAGTGCAATATTCGACTTACTGACACATTCCCAAAGAACAATTCCGTAGGATTATATCGATTTAAGTGTAGTTCTTTAGAGAAGGATTTTATTGTCTAGAGACATTTTAGAACTTTTACCAAGAAGCCATTGTTAACGTTCAGACATTTTAAGCTTGGTTTTATGGAACCTGACATGTAATATCGATTATAGATCGTAATATAGTTCGAATGCATAGCTGGGCACCGTTAATCAAATAGTTAACTTCGTTAATCGTTAATCCGCTACAAAAAAAGTTAACTTCGTTAAACGTTAAAGCGTTACATTTCGGAAGAATTAACGCAAGTTAACGTTAATCGTTAATCCGTTAATATGTGTAAAATTACATTTTTATATCGTTGCGTTAGTGAACTTAAAAAACTTATTAGTTTAGGTTCTGGAAGTTAACAGGTTATGAATAAAACAAAATACTTGTATAATTCAAATGTGTAATTTAACCCCTCGCGCGGTTTATGCACACTTCCGTGTGTTTAAAGGTGCGTCCACACCTAACGAACGAACACGAACGAACATGTCGAACAAGAAAATACAAAGAAGAACGAACAGGAACACGAACGAACGCGAAAAATTTCAAACGAACTTGAACAAGAGCTTAAAAGCAGTGAGCGCTTGAATTTTCGTTGTTCGTAGATGTTCCGTGAAACGTCAGTTTTATTATTGATATGGATGTAAGTTTTAATCATACGGCATTTTCACTGGTTTTTGTGTGATTTTTGTTGGTGTATATTTTGTAAATATACTGTAAATAAATTATTCAATTAATTTCACTCAGTTTTTGTATTTAATATTTATATTTTGAGTCGTTTTCTTTCTTCAGCATTCATATTCGGAGCAAGCTGAACATTCCAGGCTTGAGCTAACTATACTCAATTATCATACTCTCATCCTCAACATATATGTTGAATGTCTATGTATGATAACAAGTTTAATATTTACTTGTAAAGACTGCAATTTCTTCTTTACTGCAGCTTCTGACATCCCAAACGTTTTGCCTACACTTTCCCAAGCATCGTTTTTTTTTCTAATAATTTTATAAAAAGGGTCTTTAGTCTCCCATATTATAGGAAACTTTTCTATTTCATTTATGAATGATAAAATTACGTCATTTGACCATTCCATAATTTATTCAAAATTTTCAAACTGTACACAATAATTAAAAGTAAATATTATTAAAATTTTCAAACATTAAAATTATTAACATTATTATTGAATTATTAAAAAATTATTATTAAATTATTAAAATTATTAAAACAAAAATGTTCGTTTGCGTTCGTTGAGACGTCCACACTGCACATACGAGTTCAAACATGAACGAACAATTCCCTTTGATGTACCGACAAGTTGCGGAACATTGCTCGCCATGTTTGTTTATGTTCGTTCGTGATCGTCGTGGCGTCCACACTATGCTGTTGCCGTTCGTTCTGGTACGTTCTTTTATGTTCGTTCGTGTTCGTTCGTTAGGTGTGGACGCACCTTAAGAAAATGGCACAATTATCACATACCGTGATAACGCTATTGGTCAACTTTCCGTTTTTATGATTGCATATTGTTTTTACAATAATTTTTTTCTAAATAAAGGGAAAGAGTTTTTTTAACTTCCCGTAGGGCAAGTTATAGTAATCGCAAAAAAATCGAAAATGAAAATTTTTGCATTTCTCGACGTTTCAAAGATTTCTGAATATTTTGGCATGCCTTAGAAAAAATTGATGTATGTGTGTGTGTGTGTATGTATGTGTATTCGGATACAAATTTTCGTCGACGATTTCGGGAACACGGATCAACCGATTTGAATAATTCAAAAAACATTCGATTCGTATTGATAAGAAGACGTGCTGATTAGTTTTTGGCAAAGGCAGGTCTAGCCGTTCCGAAGATATGGGGCAAAATTGAGCCAAAAACGGTAACTCAGTTTTTGAGAGAACGGAGCGTCCGATTTTAATAATTCAAAAAACATTTTACTTGTATTGACAATTATGAAGAACTGATCAATTTTTCATGAAGGCAGGTCTAGCGGTTTCGGAGATCTAATGAAAAAAGTAAAAAAAAATGCCATTTGGCGGTCAAAATGATCATTAGACATATGCACATCAAATTATCAGATATTTTATAGAGATTTTAACAATAAGTATAAATTTTATTTACATTCCTATGGGTTCCGTACCAATGTTTATCCTTTAGACAGCGACGCGGCTTTATATTTTGTCTCTATGCAGTCCTAAAGCAGTAAAATTGCTTTGAAAAAAAGTTCAGATCTTTCAAAATATTTAATATTAATTTTTTGTCCAATAGTTTATAGTTTCTCAAAAATCTTATTTTTTCGAAGTAAATTTTTTTCAAAAATGTTAATCGTTTTTAAAAATATAATAATTTTAGGTACGGAAAGTACCAGCAATTTGCCTTAAGGAACGATGCCTTAATTGCCTTGAGACAGAATTCCATTTACAGCTAGTTTTTGCGAAAAATAGGAAACGCGCGACGCGTTAAGCGTCGGGCATAAGGTGCATATTCCCCTTCATGAACATTAACATGTTGAAGTTCTCGTCTGAAAGCGAGGCTCTTTTTGGTGTCAAAATGTCTTTACCCGTAGAAAACAAACGTTCAACTGCAGCGCTTGAGGGTATAGCAGTATTGTATTTAATAAATAGATTTATGAATATCTGTTCCCCGAGGAATGCAGCATCGTTGAACGAGTCTTTTGATTTCATATCCAGCCACATTTTAACGAGAATTTGCGCTTTATTCTTTAAAGAGTTTGTAGCTCTTTGGTTTTTCTATAGACTGAGTGACAGAATTGAAAAAGTCTTCCTTGTCGTCATCATCGTTGTTACTCGCATTGCTCCCTCCGCCACTTAAACTATCTCTGTCCTTCGAATTTTTCGCTGCTTCTTGCCATAAGGCATCTTCTACCTTTTTTCCGTGCATTTTCTTACTGCATCCTCTCTACTGCTGTCATACGTTTCCAGCCACATTAACCGAAACTTTGGGTGAAATGCCGCGGCAAGTTGGCACTGTTCATCATTCAGGAGTAGTCCAAATCTTTTCTCTATGCCGTTTAATAAGGCATTGGCTAAAGCTGTGCCGTGCGGTAAATAGTAGGCATTGGATTAACGATTAACGGACTTCTCGCATTTTAACGGAAGTTAACGTGTCCGTTAACATTTTTAAAAGTTAACTTAAAAGTTAATCCGTTAATCAAAATGTTAACTTCGTTAATTAACGATTAACGGATTAACGAGTTAATGCCCAGCTATGTTCGAATGTATCTATAGATTTTTTAAATGATATTTAATTTTAAATAAAATACAGAAGTCTGTACAAACTAAATATTGTATAAAGAGACAGTGGATCAACTCAAAAAAGGTAACCACTTTTGGAAAATATTTTAATGATTAAATACATATTTATTTTTTTTTACAAAATTTTTATCAAGCTTAAATCTTTGTTATCATAATATCAATTTAATTATACATGTTAGTGAAAGGGTTTAATAGGACGATTCTACTTTGTACTTTTACAATTATTCCCTTCAATCTTTTAAATGTTTAATCTTTAACTTTTCAATAAGACAACCTTGAACTAAAACAAAGGTATCATTTTATGTTGTCATGTTTTGAAGTAACACGTATTTGACATTTGCATTCAACTGAACGTATAATATTATTTGAACTTATGCATTTTATATCAATGATAATTTATAGTATACTTCTTTATAGCATTTTTCAAAATCACAGCTATGAACTTTGTCTGTGTTATGTTTTTTTAAATATC